CCATACACACTTTTTGAGCTCGAAATATAAACAAGCCGAACACTCTTTGTTCTTGAACACGCTCGTGTTCGGCTCGTTTACACCCTTATTTAGGGTAATCACTTTCTGCAGGAGTAATCACAGACAAGAACGAATAAATATTTCCTTATGGGAAAATGTTTTATGGGGACGGGGGATTTCTTATAATGTTTTAGGAGATAATGACGTTTTAGGTTTTAAAATAAATATTTACTTGTAAATAAAAATAGATTGCATCTCATGATGAATTTCGTGCATATATTTTGTAATATTTTCAACTCTCCGCCCCAAGTAAATGTTAAACGGGATTTCTGTTGGAAACTTCATACCCACTTTTTATAATAACTTTAACTTTCAGCGCTTCTCGTACCAAAAAAATCACCTCATCAAATATGAATCTCAATATATTAATATTTAAACTAAATATTTTTAAGGTTAAATTTAGGGTCTTCTAATTCTATTTTTAGCAAAGTTTTTCATGCCATATATACGTTAGAAATGTGACTACATGAATCTCAAGAAGATCTAACAGATCGCATGAAAAGAGCAGTAAAGCAATTCAGTAATACTCCAGTCGGTCGAACTCTGGGCCGACCAAATGTTAGTCCACCCGAACCCAAGAGCACCACACACCAATACCGAAAACGATCTAACCAACATAAAGGATATTCACAAGAACAACAATCGCCTAACAAGGACTACTATATAGATTTATCGACTGAAGGTAGGCTGCCCGTCAGATTACGGTAATATATCTTCTATCTAGGCCCGTCAAAACGGCTCGTTGTTCGCGAACAACTCGTGTTCGGCTCGTTAATTTCGTTCGATAAGTTAACAAGCCGAACACGAACTAATATGTGTTCGTTCGTGTTCGGCTATATTAAGTAGTATTTTAAAACAATCTAATTGACTACAAGGCTACAAAGATTTATAATCAATTAAAATATTGATGAAGAAAATTGAATAAAAATTATTAAATTAGATTCAAATGATGTTTTAATATAAATAATAATTTTTAAAGCTTGCTCAAACTCTTAGTCTTATGACTACATGATTAGGGTTGTTAAAAGGACTTTTTGTTCGTGAACAGCTCGTGCTCGGCTCGTTAAGCAAACGAGCCGAACACGAACACACTTTTTGAGCTCAAAATATAAACGAGCCGAACACGAGCTCGTGTTCTGCTCGTTTACACCCCTACTTATATCTGATGGAATAATCCTCCCATAAGACAATGAGTCTGCACAATAGATTCCTCAAAAAAGGCGACCAAAGATAGTTCAGTTAGCAAAGTGATTCTTTGGCTAACCGAACAAATACCACATGACCAAGCCAAATTGTTACTAATACGAAACGGTGCCTAGGGTAGTTAAAGATACAAAACGATGCCAATAAAGGTTGCAAGATCAAAATATGTCAAATTTGGTTACAAAAATATAAAGTTGTAATGGATTATAAATAATTATAATGTTCTCATTAAATGAGGGACAATCATATAATTTATCGGACCTCTTCCTATGACTTATAAATAGGAAGATCATTTCTATAGAAAAGACTATTGAATTCATTCCTAAAGAATTGGCTCTATTTATGCTTGTCTCATCTCTTTTCATATTCCTCTCATCCGACTAACGCTCTATTCCTTGAGCGTGACCCGAATGACATTTGGGGATTCAACATTCTAAAAAGTGTGGTGAGCGTGGAGTCATGTCTTCAACAAGAATAGTGTAACACACATATGAGAAACTTCTAAGATAGAGTCTGGCAGGGAATTCGTGCAAGTACGAATTCAAGAGCTCCATGATCGAATGGTAGGTCAGATTGCGAAATTGACTCGAGTGGTATTTGAGGGGAGAGCACGACCTCTTCCACCCTAATCCTCTAGAACTCGAAGCTGAAGGCCAATAGGCGGTTCAAGGAGTCGGACAAATGGAAGAATCCCATAATCAAGATAGTGTTGGATTTGTGCTGAGAAGCAGACCCCAAAGGATGAGAATAGAATCACAAGCGGGACAAATCAAAGTTTACTGCCGACTAGAGAATGTGTTCTCATGACACATTGTTGAAGTTGAACCCCCAGAAAAGTTCAAGGTTCCTCTTTGGAACCATAAAAAGGCCGGAGTGATTCAACCGATCATATTGCATCCTTCGAGTCGGTTATCTGCCTTCTCAATATTTATGACACATGAAAATGTTGACTGTTCTACACCACCCTTAGTGATGTGGCTCTCAAATGGTTCAATGGACTCCTTATTAGGATTATAAATTCCTTTCGAGAGTTCAAGAAATTGTTTAAGACATAGTTAGCTAGCGCCCAAAAACCCCGCAAGGATTCAAAATCCTTATGATTTGTAAAGCAGGGTCGAAACGAGAACATTTGGGTGTACTTTACACGGTTCCAAAAGAGGATGCTCAAGGTAATGAACCTAAAGACAACAATCGCTAAAGATGTCCTCGTGAAAGGTCTGAAGAGTGCCTTTCAGATATTTCTTGGGTTTGTGAAAACCTGAGACTTCGGGCAAACTCTTAGAGTTAGCTAACGAACACATTGCGACAAAGGAGTACATGAACCCGCCTGTCTCCAAAAACAAGAAGTACAATCATTGATCGAACAAAAAAGGTTAATTGCACGATGGGTAGAAGGAGAAAGATGACCCTCGTCCCAAACGTGAAAGAGGCCGATAGGCAGGTAGAAATAAGGATTCAGAGCGAAATTCACAAAATTGAAGCCGATCAAATGATTGTTCAACTGACAATCAGGAGGAATATATAGGTATGTATGTATGTATTTTTGTATGTGTGTGTGGGTCTATATATATATATATAAAGAGAGAGAGAGAGAGAGAGAGAGAGAGAGAGAGAGAGCAATCACATACTTGCAATAGTGAAAATGATTCCTCACATTGAATTCTAAACTTCATTTTCTTCACTGTACACAGGACCTCTGTTGGGTTGAACAAAGCTTGACTACATTTTTTGAAAGATGCAACTTTATGGACAGTCCATTAAGTATAAAGTTGATGTATAAATGCTGATAAGTAAACATCATCATACCTCATTTATTAATCCTGACTCCTGTTTCCAAATATGCGTGTGTAAGCATAAAGAAGAATACACTCCCCTTATTTCTTCTCTTTTTTCATCCATTGGCAACTTCTCTGAGTTCAAAGTTCCAATCCTAATTAGGGGTGTAAACGAATCGAACACGAACGAACAAAGCTTGTGTTCGTGTTTGGTTCGTTTAAAATTTAGTTTGTTTGAAATAAGCTCGTTTTCGTTTCTTAACGACCGAGCCGAACACGAACCGAACACGAGCTGTTCCGGAACGACGAGCCAGTTTGACATCCCTAATATTAATATATAAAAATAATATTATATATTAATTATATAACTTATATTATATAAATATACAATATCTATATTAGTATATTACTACTATTATAGTATATTAATATATTATTATTATTATTTTATTATATATTATAATTTATAAAATTTAATGTTTTAAAATATAATAAATTTTTTATATATAATTATTTTATATTATTTTATATTTCAAACAATAATGATTCGAACACGAACGAACGCATCACTGTTCGTGTTTGGTTCGTTTAACTAACCGAACGAAAAAAATTTATTCGCGTTTGTCTCGTTTACTTATCGAACGAATCGAACACGAACTCATTGACGAACCGAACACAAACTGTTCGCGAACAACGAGCTTTTTTGACAGCCCTAATCCTAATAATCATAATAACGTTCCTATTTGTTCCTATTTATTAAATGCATTCATAAGTGGGATCGTGTTTTCTGGTCCCTCAGAAAATACTTTAGGCTTTACAGTTGTCAAAAGTGTAGAGAAACAAAAATTTATTAAATGCTAGGAATTTGGATCTGGATTCTTTCACACACATGTGTGTGTGTGAAAGAAAACATCCAGCTCATCCAAATTCCTAGCATTACTTCACAAAAGCTGCATTTCTCTTCTTTTTCTTATATATATATAAGCTCTCTCGATGCCTTCAACACTTAACATGATCCTTAGCTATTTTTTCTTCCACCTATGCTCTTGGAGATGGCCACAAGGAGTCCTACATGATCCCATTCTTCATATTATCTGCTCAATATTATTACAGATGACTTATACATTGCTGTTGTTCAAAAAGCAAAGGAAGCATCATAATAGCAGCAGAGAATGCGTGTTTCACTACCGACGCTATCCCTATTGAGCTCTTTTCTTGGTCGTCTTTCATTCCTCTTCTCTCTGTCATCCTTAAGCTTCATGCTTTTTTCTTGATCTTGCAAGGCTTCATAAATTATAAGTGTTAGTCATTACCGTCTTTTGTTCCGTTTATATTTATTCGCATCATCAACTTTCTAACCTCTGTCTATCCCTCAGGAGCTGATTATAATAATTTAAAATAACAGTATTGTTGTCTGTAACTGAACCAATAAACTTGCTAAATAGATTTATATTTCATAAATGATCATGTGGTTTTCCCACGTAAGGATTTTGTTGGCACCGTTATCTGAAATGTATAACATGGTTTCATAGCCTTTATTTATATTGTTTTATAGCTCAAATCATTTCATGTTAATTAAAGATGAATATCAAGCAAATAAAACACAAATAAAAGAATAGGAACAAAGAATTGCTGAGGCCAAAAACCAAAAAATTAAATCTCACATGCTAATCGGCAGCAAAGATCCAAAGCCTTCTACTGCTGTCTCTCTGTGAAGAAGATCGAGACAAACCTGACCTCGAGCATCTTATAAGGCTTGGAATAGTCTCTGGAGCCCCCATGCAGAACGAGGGGCTCTGCCTTATGGATGAAAAGCTCTGGCAGCTAAGAGCTCTAAAGGAAGCAGATCCAAGCGGGGGAATCCCGGCGCAGCCGAAATCAGGCCGGCATGACTGGATCACCCTTGCGGCATCTGATTCTGATCTGAGAACCGGGCATGCCGTGCATAAGGACAGTGATAGGCTGCTCCTTGATGGTTCGCTGTTTGGGCTACTGCATGGCAAGCTTGAAAATGAGATGATCGCATTCCGGCATAGAGGGCAAGGTATCGAACCTGGTGGACCAGAAATAATGGTAGATGTGGTATTGGTCGAGCAGAGATAAAGCGCACACCTAGTGCAAAACTCATGGCTACAACCTGAAATCATAAGAACTCATGTCAGTTTAAATGTGGTTAAACTTTTCCTTGCTCATTTGAAGAAAGCATACAAACTTTCCTTTAAGGTGGTTTCTGCTTTTCTTTTTTTGCTGTTAAAAGTTATTTTTTGAACCACAGTTCTATTATGCATTCATAAAGCGGCTCTTCAAGCTGAAAGTTAGAAAAAACAATGAAAAGGCTGTTATGCAAATGGCACTGCTTTATATTGTCTGATTTTCCTACCACAAAAGTAGTCAAAAAGAAATCCTATGAATGCAAATTTTGCATTACGATGAAGCTTCAAATCAAATGAAATGGCATTGTTTTCTTCTATAAAAGTAGGTGAAGAAATGTATTCTAAATTATGGAAAAAAAAAAGTAAACCATAGATCGATAGTAGCATTTATAAATGAAAGCAAAGCCCATAACAGTTTTACTGATTCTGCCAGTCATACTCAATCAGTTCAAGTTCTAATTAATACTTGAAAGAATATTATAATGTCATATTATCATTGTAAAAACAATCTGTAAGCAAATGAAATTTAAAACACTGGAATGAACATTAAAGATTTATAAGTTGGTTGCAGTTTTCAAGAAATGTATACCTTCTGCAGACACAGTGCATGTCCTTTCCAAACAGACGGCACAAGGATCAAAACTAGGACGGCACAGGTTGTCTCCCCTCCATCCATGTTCTCTAAAACATGAAGACAATATACAAGTCAGAACTCCTTGTGCTTTAAGCCCATGGCTTTGACCAGATGATTAGTTCCACAAAGATCTAAAATATTCACAAACTTCACACAATATTTGGCAGCATAAGAACTAAGAATATCTACAAGAGATGCCGACCCCAAATAGTTGGCATAAGGCCAATAATGATGATGATAATGATAATGAATAAATTTAAGATAACGCACCTAGCAATTGTCATGATGCTCATTAAGGGTAGAGATAAGTATGGCGAAGGAAGAATGTGTAACGATGTCCCTTGTTGGCTCAGAATACTCTCAAGCCAACTTCTATTCCATGACCGAGCAACCATCAAAGGAGTCCATCTTTGATCATGAAGAACAACAGATGAGCATAATTAATAATCTGAAATTCTAGTGTAAGCATACAATGAAATAAAACATTAAACATAACGAAAACAAGAAGGCTTCACTTAAAGGAATTGTTTGAAAGTTCTGTTAAAAGATTAATCTATGGATGATGAATGCAAGGTTGCAAAATTACAGTTTGTGATTTTCCTGTCCTTGTTGCTGCTTCTCACGAGGGGAACATAGATTCTACTTGTGGGTTTGGTAAAAGTGAAGTTCGAGGCCAAATATGATAGCAACAATTGAAGCAACATTAGTGAGTGCTGGCAGCTACAATGGTTGGAGCGTGGTGTTGGTGACAGTGGTGGGAGGTTGGTGGCTGCCGGGGGGGAGTGGTGGGTTGTGGGCGGCGGCTAGCGCCGGGTGATTAAGAAAGGTGGACGGTGGCGGTGGGCGGCGGCATCACTTTGCACAAAGTAGTGTATTTGGAATTCACCCAAATACATTTAAAATGAACTAAATAGTGAATTCTAGTACATTAGAATTTTACACTACATTGGAATTTTACACTGAATCTGTTTTTCGTCCAATAAATGCTTCAATTTTAAGATCCCTACAAAAGGAATGCAATGCACTTATTTTACTGCTAATCAAATGCCACCTAAGAGTATTTGCCACCCAGTCGAGTTGGGATCTAATAGGAGATAATCCATTACTGCTAATCAAACTTTCTAAACCCATTTGCCAACATGTTGACTCTTAATGACTGAAATATGGGATCATAATCGAGTTAACCACTCATCTCCCAACACATCAAAAATCATAAACAAAATAATTAACCACCACCAACCTAGAGCACATGTGATTTCCTTAACAAAGAGCATTTTCGAATATCCACATGCGATATAATAAAATGGGTGCTTGCTCCAACGAGATTCCTCAATCGATCATATCTAATAATGAATATTTCCATTTCTTAGCAATGGAAGTTTGGTAGAATTTATCAATCTAAATTAAACACAAGCATCTTCTAACAACTCCAAAATAAGTACTGTTCCTCAAAAGCAGTTCCTTGAAGCACAATCATCATAGCAAAACTCATCATGGTCAAATGCTTCTCGTCAAACTAGTAGTAAAATGAAAACATCTTGACAACCAGTAGTTTGGCAAAATTGTTCAGCCCATTTTGGTCCAACAATCTACAGGGAAATGCCCGTATTAATTTTGTTCTGATGTGCCTAACTCACACGCATTTTCCAGGCTTCCATGATTGTGAAATAATTGTTGTTGAAATCTTTCAGCAATGTAGAAATTTTATCATTGAAATGTTAGTTAACGAAATACACATCCTCTTCCTCTAACTCTGCTACAGCACCACAAACACTAGCCACCCCTTCGCCAGTTGAAGCCCAACTTTGTTCTTAATGTTTGTTCCATAGTAATGGATTCTGCATTATTTGCAAATGTAGTTAATTAAGATGAAGTGACTCCGAAAACTTGTGAGATCCTCCCAAGTTTTTTAGTCCTTCTATAGTGCAATGGATGGCCTCAAACTTCAATATGAACAAGTAGCATCTTCAGTTTGCTCATCATTTCTTTTCCTGTTATTCAAGAGCTACAAGCACATGTAAAAAATTACAGATGATTTTGATCGCCATTAATTCAGGTTCGGTCAAACCATAGTGCATAGGTCAAACAAATTTGCTTTGCCATATCATCACACTTTAACGATAGAGGCCAGTTGGTTGCTTTCGACTTGCGCAGCATTCTCACAGATGGTTTCATCTAAATTCTGATAGATGAAAAATTGATACTTCTGCTATCAAATCCAAAGCTGATTTTCTGCTCAAACTACGAAGTAGTATTTTAATTAAAGCTAGGTTTAAAAGATTAATGTAAAATATCGGGAAATTACATAATGAGAACAATAAATTTTCCGTAATAGGAGAAACAGAATAAACTTGATGTTTCTCAGAGAAGAAAGTTTCATGCATTTTTATGCTCTTCCATCAAGCAATAACATTTGTGACAGAATCCGATACACTTTCAGATTGAAAATATCATAAGCATAGATGAAAAAGGTAGGTTTTTGTGAAAATCTGAAAAGATGTTGGAGAGGATTTGACTGAGACTCTTAAGATTTTTAAATTTATAAAATCCAATTTCATGACCCAAAATTCATAAAATTCATAAAATTTATAATGACCAAGATTTTTGAATTCATGATTTTCAAATACATACCTGTGTTCATGATTGTAGAATTCGATTGAAGAGATGAAGTTTCTCTCATAATCCTTATTATTTTTCATACTTTCTGACGGAGAGAAAGATACATTACATCTTGGGAGAGAGAAGACCCTTCTCTTATTTATCAGAGAAAAGATAAGTCTCTTAGGAAGAGATACAATTTTTCTCTTATTTATCAAAGAAAATAAAAGTCTCTTGAGAATAAATACAAACTTTCTCTTAATTATCTATTATTAATCACTACCCATCAAGCTGGTTATTAACCAATAGGATTTAAGATAATTTAATTAATTAATTAAAGCGAAAGAATACGGTATCTATTGGGAAGAGACATAAATTTTTTTTTAATTAATTAATTAATTAATTACTATTAAAATACATGACAGTGGGCCACAAAATAAATAATAAAAAATTAACATTCTCCCACTTGACCCACGTAATAGTTAATAGTGCATAACATACAGGACAAAATGTAAATTAAAATTCTTACTGATATTGGTCAAATCATAAATCATCAATAAGTATGAAATTAATATGAATCATGACGGTTGTGTATCAATTTATCGACATAATTCCTTCCATATATCAAAATATCAATTGTATATTTAATATAATGAGAAATAACATCATGATCTCATAATGTTTATTAAAAGACGAATTTTGTTAAACATAACATAACATAAAGTGTACACTAGCGATAAAAACAAGATACATAAATATCATAAACAACATAAACTGAGCTCAAAGTGTCAAACATAAAGAACACTAAACATAAAACTAATAGTAATACCCATTTTCAGAACATGTTCGTTAAATGTTTGCGGTGACAGCTCTCTTGTCTATGGATCTACAATCATAAAATTAATGTTGATATGCTCAATTGACACCCTATGTTTCTAAACTTTTTTTTTAACGACAGAGTACTTTAATTTCATGTGTTTAACATCTTTGGAATACTGATCGTTTTTAGAAAAAAAAAACTGTTGCAGAGTTATCACAGTAAATTTTCAGTGGTTTGGCAATATCGTTGACAATTTCAAGTCCTAAAATAAAATTCTGCAGCCATAAGTCATAAATTGTAGCTTCAAAGCATGCCACAAATTCAGCTTCCATAGTAGATGCAACAGTGATAATCTGCCTCGTACTTTTTCATATTGAATCTCTTAATAATTCTATTGATATATGCTTTCTGAGACAGTCCTAACAATTCTTGTGATTTATCATGAAATATTTCAATTTCAATCATATAGGATACCTCGCCCATATCTTTCATTTCAAATTTCCTAGAGAGAAAATTCTTGGTTTGATAAAATAAGCTAAGATCATTAACAGTCAGCATAGTCAGCAAGATATCATTAACATACAAAATGAGAAATATGATATTGCTCCACTGACCTTCAGATATATATTTAAATCCAAAGGAAGTGATGGTATCATTGAACTTAAGTAGCATTGTCGGGAAGTTTGTTTAAGTCGTATATTGATTTTTTAAGTTTACATACCATGTGCTCCTTTTCTTCAACTGAAAATCCTTCATGTTAACTCATGTAGACATCTTCATCTAAATTCCTATTCAGAAAAGCAGTTTTCACATTCATTTAGTGTAACTCCAAATCATAATGAGCTACTAGTGTCATGCAAATTCTAAATGAATCATTCTTAAAAACTGGAGAAAATGAGCTACTAGTATCATTGAACTTAAGTACCATTGTTGGGAAACTTGTTTAAGTCCGTATATTGATTTTTTAAGTTTACATACCATGTGTTACTTTCCTTTAACCGAAAATCCTTCAGGTTGACTCATGCAGACATCTTCATCTAAATTCTCATTCAGAAAGACAATTTTTGCATTCATTTAGTGTAACTCCAAATCATAATGAGCTACTAGTGTCATGCTAATTCTAAATGAATCTTTCTTAGAAACTGGAGAAAATATTTATTTATAGTCGATGTTATCTTTTTGTGTGAAATCTTTGACAACAAGTTTTGTTTTATATCGTTCAATATTGTCATTCGAGTCGGGCTTAGTCTTAAAAAATCATTTACACCCGACTTTTTTACAACCTTCAAACAATTTAATGACATCCCAGACTTTGTTGTGATCCATCGATTTCAACTCATCTTTCATTACATCTAACTATTTATAAGAATTTGTACTTTCTATGGCTTGTGAAAATGAACCTGGTTCTTCATTGACTCCCAAGTCAAACTTAAATTCATGTAGATGAAACACATAATCATCAGAAGCAAAAGACCTTCTTTGTCGTTGAGACCTTCTAGGTACAACTTCATTTGGTTCATCTAATGGAGGTTCATTAGTGACAATTTCATTATGGGGTGTTTGATCATTTATCTGTTGTTCCTGTGAGTTATCATAAGTTGTCAGACTGTTCAATAACTGTAGGAATAAAAAATTGAGAAGAAATTTCAGGTAAAGAAATTTGAACCCTAATTTCTTGTATTTCCACTTTACGTGATTCCAAACTCCCACTAACTTCACCATTTTCAATGAACTTAGCATTTCCAGCTTCAATAATTCTCGTACTGTGGTTCGGACAATAAAATTTATACCCTTCAGATTTTTCTGGATAACCAATGAAGAAACCATTAGTTATTCTTAAGTCTAGTTTCTTTTCATGTGGATTATAAATCCTTCTTTTCGCTGGGCAACCTCAAACATGCAGGTGCCTTAAATTAGATTTCTTTCCTGTCCACAGTTCAAAGTGAGTCTTTGGAACTGCCTTACTAGGAATCTTGTTTAACAAATATGC